CCAAAATAGCTTGATGCAAAAGGGCATATTTATTTAGCACGACTTTCAATGATGATGTGGTCCAACTTCACAAACACAAAATCCAATTCTTCATGACCTCAAGGGCATATTGATCCATCAAAAATTGTACTGTCCCTCCCTCCATCAAGACACCAAATTGATAAAAGGAAGCTTCCAGCATGCAACAATTAAGATAAAAATCAAAACTTGAAAGAAGAGAAGAAACTTCATAGAATATAGAACCTATAAAGCAACAAGCTGATTGGTCATAGCATACTTTAAACTGACGACAAATAAAAACTTGCTTAAAAAAGAAGTGGCAATAATAATCACGTCCTAAACCATATATAATTAGCTAAAATGTTCTAGCTTGATGGAATAAGATAAGTGTTCAAAGAAAAAAATAAACTAAGCAAGTTTATCATCTATGCTTAAAAAATAAATAAATTACTTCAGGCATCTACCAAAAAAATAGTTGGCGTGACTTAAGAAGTAGAAAATATTGGCGTGACTTAAGAAGTAGAAAATACTGTAGATACACTTAAAAAAAATGGATTAAAGCTAGAAGAGGAATAAGAAATACTTTATCCCCTCAAAGATGAGCAAAAAAAAATGTAATTAAGATCTAACGTAATAAAACTTGAAAAAGTTAATACCTCATCAAACAAAACCCTGTAAGCATTTAAGTCGTGATATATTTTCCGATTTTCAATTTAGCAATGATCAAGTGCTTGTGCGATGTAGTATGCAACTCTAACTCGCATTTCCCATGATAAAGGCTTCTTGTCCCCTATAGATACCGCAAGAAAATCTCAATGCCATGAAGAAACGTGCCTACTAAAAATTTCCTTCAAACAGAAGAAATCATTTCAAATCAAACTTTCATAACCGCTACAAATGGATCATCCATCATACTTGAAGTCATAATTGATCCATTTGGAACACTCCGAAACAATTTCAAGATCTTAAACCAATTTCTCCTCAAAAATATAAGCATCAAAGTGCAATCCAGTATGCAACAAACAGAAAGCACCACCGCTAAGCTACCAGCATTATCACCCTTAGTTTTCACAGACAATGCTCATACTGACTCACAGTAAAAGATCTATACATTCCAGATAACTTTTCACACAAAGTTTGTCATATGCACTCGCTCTCGAATAGAGGGATGTGAGAGAGAATAATAAGTTCATACAATGAAAAAGATGCTTGGATGTGCTATAAATCTCCTCACAAAAAATTATAAATCAATCAAAGAACTTTTCAAGCCCAAACTCAAAGAGATCAAATCAGACAACATGCTGCCCTTTAGAATGAGAGATCTATAAGGAAGTTTCAGAACAATATGTTTTATCACTACACACAGTAATTATTAAGCAAGCCATGACATCCCTATGATCATCTATTTCTCATATTTTGAGTAAAAAGAAAGCAAAGAGAGGGAGATCATTACCTTTATAGAAATGAATTTCCTTGTCAAGTAGAGGAAGAAGAGAGCAGGGCTACATCTTCCTAGGGGTTTCAGTTCTGTTTTAAATCCTGTGGGAGAGTGGAGATCGGCTGTTGGAAATGGCGACCTAGGGCAAGAGCCGGTTGGGGAGCAAGATCGGCTTCGGACTGGCTCCCTTGGAGCGAAATATAGAGTGGGAGATGGGCTGGGGCTCGGTCCTAGGGTTGGTGGATCGAGAAACGTCGGAGACCGGCGAGAGAGAGGTGCGGCCGACCTTGGGGTCTTGCAAAGCAAAGGTAGACGGGCTGGGGAAGACGTGCGAACTAGGTGGTTTCTGCCTGGAGCCCCTAGCCAACCGAGGAGATGGTTCTTGTGAATCAAAGAGAATGAGATGGAGAGGAGGGGGCGTTGCAAAACTGGAGGGAGACGGTTCCGAGAGAGAGAGCGGGGGGGCCTTGCGAACTGGGAGGAGGCGAAGCCAGGAGGTTTTTCACGAACTGCCCAGAAGACGAGACGAGGCTGATTTCGTGAATACAGGGGAGCGGGAGAATTTTTATTTTTCACGAACTGCCCAAAAGCCAATTATTCTTTCTTTAATGCAATGGAGCTTGAGATTGTGGGAGTCTGAACCGGCTCTAGCCGAATCTAAAACTGTTTGATTCAAATTGATGACTAAATCGACGACTGCAATCTATGGATTGATTTAAAAACAAGTTGAGTTCATTATTCTAATCGTGATTATAATTAATTTAATCAAATTAAATTTACTTAATATCAAGTTTAATAAATATTTATTTCAATTTTATTTTATTGATTTGAAAAGGTCGATTTAATCAATTTGTCCTAATTAATGTTGATTTGATTTTAATAGGTTTGAAACGAGTTTAATTTAGATTTAATCGAAGTTGTCATTTGTTAAATCAAATTTGTGCCGAGTCAATTTTTTTTGAATTTGTGATGATTTAGGTCGAGTCAAAAGGTTGAGTCGATGCTACGGCGTTGGGTAAAGGAAAATCCTAAAGACGACGTATACACTAGGCTACGAAGACCTAGGTGATAGAGATTGATTCCGGAGAAATTGACCTCGAATAATGAGGTCAACAATCAAATGCTAATGATATTTTAAAAATGCATTATGTACACAATTAAAAAGAATAATTAGTCACTAAAATGACATGTATATATTTGTGAAAAATAAATCTCTAGACTTTTAGTGACAAAATTAGCAGTCAATTTTTCTTTTTGGTGGCTAATATATAGATTCCTTATTATTTAGAGGCCACACTTACTTTTGGTC